TGTATTATTTAGCTTAACTCCTTTTTGCATGAGAAATCAAGCATGCTGTCACAATCTCACTTTTGTTCACAATGCACTGCTATAAAAATAGCTAAATGAGCTGCTGGACTTTCTCAATACAGCAGACAGCCATCTGAAAGTCACAGCACTATTGAGTTTAAAAATCAATCTAAACTGTATCACTGCCAAAATGCAGCAAAATTAAGTGAAAGCAGGATCCGTAATGGAAAAAGAAAATCCTTTCATGCATTTCAAAGACACCTACCAAAAGTAAGCATTTAATGTTTTTAAAAATTAACGAATGACTTTCTTTTAGTCTGCTTTCTTTGTAGCATGCTTTTAGTTTTGCATCTGCCAGTGCAGAGAGGTGCACTCTGGGAAAAAGGATGTCCCTTCTGCTATTCCAACAGCCTTCAGCTCCAGTGACTGACACACACATATCAGCACAGTGTTCCTTAAGACCAGGATATTATAGCACCTGAAAAAGAACAGCAAAACTATTCTAAACAGCTTAGCCCTGAAATGAAATGCCTGACAATTTTGTTCCAACAAAAGCAGCTTGAGCAAAGAATCTGGTTTAGGAACTGCTTTATACAGAAGAAACCTATTCTTGAATAAATCTATACAATACATTATTAAATATACTGTACAGTACTCAACCAAAGAAACAGGTAGCATAGATGAAAAAAGAAACCACTTTAATAATTGAATGCTGAGGCACCTCAAAACTGAATTCCTATAGTTTCTACAATCTCAGGAAAGTAGGTCAGTATAAAAGATCAAAGGCAGAACTTGGAGAAAAGTACTCCAGACCACAGTATCCTCATGAAATGTTCAAAACACCTTACAAGGGCACATTTGGATGGCTGTTTAAAACATAAAAGTCCCAGATTACTAAAAAAAAACTAAATGAAAATGAAAGCTATCATAATAATGCCATTACAAATTAGACTTATGCCACAGCTTCAGGTTGCTTATATTTTGTGCTAATGCAATGCTATTAGTGCACGGTTATTTATATTGTCTGCTTGCTTGTTTGATTTCGAAACAACATGTCCACCCAGAGCTCTGACATGATCCATCTCTTTGATTCTAAAAGAGAGCACACAGCATGTTGTTTTGGCTGTGATGTAATAAGCCCCTTGCGATAGCTATAACTGGGAGAAATTAGGAACGAACTTTTGGTACACTGTCACCAGTCACTCAGAGATGTGCAACAAGGATGATTCGTTAGTGCACACACACACAAACACATGCACATATAAAAATGTCAGTCTATTCACACACATCTTGGTGTCAGAAGCAGAGAGACAGAGATGTAGTCCCATGATTCAGCTCCTGCAGAGCTGGGAAGAGGGTGATTCCTTTTCCAGTGTCATTGGTTTCCAAAGCAGGGGGTTCACCTGGGAGGTATTCTACACTTTTGGGGGACCACAATCCAAACAATGATGGACATGTGTTCAGCTCTCTAAGCCAAACTAAACTAAACTAAACTAAAACTACTATTTATTTAGCTCTGATTAAGCACCGCATTTCTTTAGGTGCTTCTGCAGAAAACCATCTTTTAAATTTGGAATTTTCCAGTGATGGATTTTATATCCGAGGTTTGGGGGGGAGGAACAGATCCTCGTGTCTCACACTTCCACTCTCCTACGTACAGTAGGAAAGTCTCACCCAGATCTCCCCTCCACCAATCCCTCGCATCCCCCATGTCCCCATCTACACCCTTGCAGCAGACTCCCTGGCTCATTCCTCACAACACTGAGGGAGGTTTGGGCAGCCTCGTCCTCATTCCCAGGCTGCAATTCTATCAGCTAGGCAAGGCACGCCAAATACTTCATATAGTATGTATTTCATCTCTCTATTACATTCATCAGGATCTAACCGAAGGACTGAATATTAAATTATATTTATGCTTTTACTGAAGCAACAGCGCCCCAGAAAAATTAGTGTTTTTTTTTGTTCGCTATCACATATGTTCAAAGACAGTGCACCATAACCACCTAGGAATCCTAACTAGCTTTCTATTAAATTCAATGCATTCCAGCTAGGACTTGCCCTGTAACGCAAACCCCAGGTTTTGAGCTTTCACAACCACACGCTTGTCAAGTTGGACTGACATTTGTAGGCAAGAATTCGTAGATCAAGCCAAAATAAGTAATCTCTACTTTAGGTAAACGGACCATACGCAACCTGACCGCGACTATGCTATACATAAATCACTGCATTTAAAGGCAAAAAAAGTATATGTCCCAATTTTATTCAGATTTGGATTTGGCATTTTAAACAAAGTAAAGATAACAGCTGTGATGCTCAGGCCTAATCTGAAGTCTAGAAGTTTGTCTGCAAAAATAAAATCCCCATGGCAACTAAATGTGGTGCGATTTATGTGTTTGCTGAGCAGTCTTGCCCTAAAGAGATTCTTCAGGCAACACAAGCCACCTGCCACACATTACATTAAACTAAGTCTTCAGGACATTCATTGCCCTTTTTTAATAAACTGGTCAAACAGCTAAATTACAAATCTTATGCATCATTTTTAAATGTACAGTATACAGTAAGTTTACACGATCAATGTTTTAGAAGAACATTTTTGTTCTACTTTCCTACAAACTTTGGGAAGACTTAATTATTTATATCAGATCTACAAACCTGTCTACAGACCTAAAGACCAAGGAAAAGCTTTCAGATCAGGAATTAACCAGAGGAAGCCACACGGGACACAGTAAAGTCATGTGCAGTACATGCATTAGTACAAAGCTGAGACGTTAAAAAAACTAAAAAACTTTTCAAGCCAAAACAAACAAGTTAGACAACTAGAGTAAGTGCTATTCCAGTAACCTATAAGGAACCTGCTCCTTTCCAAACTCCTCATTCAGCTCTTGAAGCTACTCACAAATAAGGAAACATTTGCCTGACCATAAAGCCACAACACAGCTCAGACTCTCTGAAAAGGGTGGTTAAAAACTGCTTTGGTCAAACAAAGACCCTAAGAGTTACTGTAAAAGACAGTATCTTACATACAACTTTTAGCCATTCCCCATTCTGTAAATTATTTAAAAGTAGATAAAATGTCCATTCAAGGCTGATAACAGAGATAAGGCAGTCCTGCCTGGTAAGATGTTTTCTGTCTTATGCTCGTACAAGCTGCAAGGAGACTTTCTTCAGCCCCTTTAAAAAGCTCTTTAAAGAAACGCAGAAGCACTCCAGATCTAAGATGCTGAATACTTGATTATGCAGCATGAAAAACAGTGAAGCTCCTCTCTTTTTTGTTGGAAGCACAGTCATTTAATTTGTATGTTTTCACAAATAACTATACTGTTTACCACACTCACAATAGAGGGAGGTGTCAGAAGCGTGCATATAATTTTATTGAGCTTTAACTAAGGAAAGCATATTTAACAGTACTCCAATGTTATGTTTCATTTCTATTTAGCTTTTAGGTTTTGCTTCTCAGTTGGAAACATCCTGTGGTAGTAAAAACCATAGGTTTGCAATTTTCAGATGCCTCAGTTCTATAGAGCATTTTGGAAGATAGGAGATAAACTGACAACCAATTTAGTGACACTAAAGTGGGCCTGTTTTCAGTTTTATCCATGAACTGCATGTGGAGAGCTGCTGTAACATCAAATGGTTATACATGCAATTTGGTTATATACGGATGAATCTTATAAAAAAAAAACATGATGTGCTATTTAGAAGAGAATTTTCTCTGTGTAACGAACATCTCATTTATACCCAATCTGATGCTAATCCAACTTATTCCTGTATTTAAATTTCAGGATAATTCACCTGAGAGATTTACAAATCATGCTTGCTGTTTATTTCTCAATATGCGTGGCTTTTTACAAAGGAAATACAAAATGAGAGGGAGAAGATAAATGAAAAGACATTTTGTAAGGCTTTAAGCCAAGCTGGTAAGCAAAATCCCAGTGGAATGTATAAAGACTGCACTTTGCACAATTCCTTTTATCTCACTAGTTGGAGAACTTATAACAGGTTCCACAGCTTTAAAGGGTAAATTCCCTGGAGAAGTATATAATTTATCAATCCAGCAACCCATACAGCTATTTTTAATAAACCTATTACATACTGAATTTTTACATCAAATAATTTGTTTTGAAGTTTGTGTTTAAAGGAACTAATAAATACTAGTGAAACAGAAGACTGTTTTTTAATCGTTTTTTAATCAATTTTCAGAACCAGCAATCTTTTTGGTGAGATCTGAAAACAGAAATGAAGTTTGAAATCACAAGATGGAGGTGCGTGTTTTTCTACTGCTTCTTTCACCCCCTTGTTATCTCAAAGTTTCGGAGGACTAAGGCAGTCAAACAGATATCACAAACACTGGGAAATATGCTTCGGAGGCTTTCTGTATGCTGCACATACAGAAAAAAAATAAAAACCTTTTAAAAAATTCTACTCAAATACTACATATAAAAGTATGATTGTAATTCAGAAAAGAGGCAGGATAACGGAGGATCTACTGTAGATGCGTTGTGTTCTGCATTCCCAAATAATTCCACATGATTTCAAACAAAACACTTCCATTGCAAGTACAACAACAGCATTACACAGTCCTCTGCTGGATCCTTTTCTTGCACTGAAAAAAGCTGTTTACATGGATCCCGCTATAATGCATGTGAAACAATGTCCTGTGGAGCATCTTACATACTGCCTAGACATGGAAGGGAAAGGAAACAACATGCAATTGTACATATAAATCCTAGATGAACCTTTTAATATCACAAGAGAAGCATCATTAAACCAGGGTCTCAATTCAGTAAATGAAACAATTTTACTCAGGAACAGGTATGTTTCTATAAACAGTACAGCTGCTGCTAAAAATGAGCTCTGACATAATTTATTTTCTGAACAACAGACTTTCTACCCTTAAAGCTGACACTGGCAATGCTAGATGGAGCTACATCACGTGCTAGGGTCTTCACTGCCCCTGACTGGAGGGAAGGGGAAGGAGGGGGAAGGAGGGAGGGAATTACCATGGTGATGAGGTATGTTGTTGCCCTCCAAGGTGGAGTGTCTTGGGCCTAGAAGCTGAACAGGAGCTGGCATTAGCTGGCCTCTCCCAGTAGGGGTCGCTGTGGAGAAATGTGAAAATCTCTTAAAGGCTATAGGAGAGAAGACGACTAAACCCCTCCCACCCCCCTCTCCCCGATTAGAAAATAATTAATGAAACAATAAAAAAAAAATCAGTGATATTGTCTGACGTTTTCACACTCTAGTATTTTTATTTAACACAATAAATAACTGATACATCTTCTGGACACTGTATTAAGACCACCGCCAGCAGACCTCTGTTTCCATGTGAATCTTTGCTTGCCTCTTGACTGCGATATGAACCATGTGGTGTAAGTTTTAAGGCTAACTTTAAAAGATTTTGTCAGACAGAATCTTATAAGGCTCTTCACTGACTGATCTAACAAATATACTTTAAATTCCGATATGTCACATCCCCTTCAGTGTTCTGCAACTAGGTTGAAGATGGCAGGCAAGCTCTATCTATTACATTTTGCGGCTGAAATTGACTTTAACTCTGTAGTGAATTATTGAAATTTTACTGACCCTCAAAAAGGGGCTGTCAGAACTGATACCATATTCAATTTTTCAAATGCAACGCTTTTCTTATATATGAGAGTATCGGTGCAATTGAATCATAAAACCAGGCTGCGCGGGAAAAAAAAAATGAAACCGCTACACAATCCTTCTACACCAGAAAAGAAGACAGAGGCATGTTGCGAAAAAACATTAACATTCTCCCACTACAGGTTCCATAAAACTCAATGCATGTAACACCACCCACGCAAACAAAGTCATTATAGTAATTTCCAGTGGTGGCTTTCTAATAATTTGATTCATAGATTTAACTACCTGTGTTCATTAAGTCAGATATTCATGCACATTGTATTATTATTCCATTTGCCTTTTTGTGTAACATGCCGCATTTTCAAAGGATTTACAGTAAGTTATGACTCATGTAAAAGAGTCTTGCAAACTGCCGATTCATTTAACAGCATTTTCCAGATTTTCTTCACAATTTTCCATAAGATTAGTGTATGATGTTCACGCTCAGCACTGCCTTCTCTCTGGTGCCCGTTGGTCTCTGTTTGACCTCAACCCTCGACTTGGCCAGCAGATGTTTTCCCTGGTTCAGAAACAAAATCACAAAGTTGACAGTCTTCCCAGGGAGTAACATGTACCTGCTAATTGAACCAATTTTAGAGGTCTACGTAATTTTGATCCTCAGAACTGTTCAAATTCATCAGGAGCTGCAAATCCCACTTTTAACTATGATTCACAAGTTTATGATTATTGGTGTGCTGTATATTACAGATGTAATTTTGTTAATAAGGTAGATTAGCTAAAAAAAATATTAAAAGACCTCATGGTACACTACAAATGTTTAATTGTTCACTTGCAAAATGTCCCTCTGGTGGTCAAGCTAGAATGGGGAAAAATCTTTAATGAAAGGAAGATAGCCATCCTTTACAGACAAGGACTCCACTGCAACGGATCTAAACTGACATGGTGATCATGGTTATTATGTCTATAAGATTCACATTATCTGAAATAACAGATGATTGAAAAGTACTCAGAAGTAATTATTTCAATAATAAGACCTATATTTGCTGCACTGTATAAAATCTGTCACTTTAAAGAATGCATACTGCAGAGTGCTCAAATATTCAGTGACAAGGTGGGTCCTGCACTTATGAAGTAAATCCTGTTCTTCTTTCACTGTACTACAGTATGAGTAACAGAGGATCCATACAATACAGACTCCTTAAGCACAGCAGTGAGCACCATGATCAAGAATATCTAATACCTGGACAACAATAGGTATTTTCTGAATTCATGAATATTTATTATTTCTAATAAACAGTACACCTGAAATCATTATATACGAAGCATGATTTATGTATGAATCAAATTACATGATTAAATTAGAGTGCTATATACAACTAACTCCCAAGATTGATGGCTTACAGTTTTAACCTTCTGCAAAGCAACATGTCATACACCACAATTTATTTGAACCAGGTGTTCGTAATGTCAGCAACTGCAATTTTCTTCCCTTCTTTTTTCCCCCACTTCGATGGTAGCTGTATAAACACGCTGTCCAACATAGGACCCACAATGCTGTGCATTCGGCTCTGTTACAATGCAGTGAAGGTAAATTATAGCCAGGAACTGAAGATTTATCCCATTTATCAAAGAAGACTGTGTTCCTCACTATGCCAAGCATTCTTTTAAATTACACACTTTTTCACACGTGGGGGAAAAAAAACTCATCCTGTCTGCCTTGTGCATTACATAAACTGCTCCAATGCTTCCTTGAGACAATTTCCTAGGAATCAGCCGCATGATTGAAAATGTGTCACAGTTGCATCTGCAGCATGATAAGCCTCCTATCACACGCCTGTGACCTTGCTGTTTTTTTTCTTTTACATGATCAAAGTTCTGTAAGGCCGCACTGCCAAGTATAGGGTTTCTGGTGGTAACAGCTGACCTTACTGAATGCCTGTAGACTCTCAAATCTCAAAGTTTTTAGTTTGTCTGTTTTTCTTATGAAGTGTTATTCTTTTCCCCATCATCCAAGATTGGATTGGGAGAATGGCCCAAAATCGCTTGCTTTTGTGTAGCATTTGAAAGAGGTAACCCTCCACTCCCACTCACAATCACGTAACGGTTTGGCCAAAAAACACTTCACAAAGGCAGTCTTTTCTAAACAGCTGTAAAGCTATCAATCATGGTGTTGAACTCTTGAACACTAAGTACCAGGAGACTTTCACAGTCTTCCAATGTTTCCCATTTAGAACAATCATGATAAATATTTTACATGACCATCTTTCTTCTCCCTTCAAGAAGGTGTCTGTGAAGAGGTCTGAAGGCAAAGGTTCCTGCTGAGGGCAAACCTCATCCAATACAGAAATCAGTGCTTGGTTCCTCAGCAAGACATCTTACTGATAATATGAGAATACTGCCTCACACTCTTTCCTGCCTGCTGCAGAGGACAGACTGATCCTATAGTTTAATATCCTTTAAAAGGAGCAAACAGATGACCTAAAACTAAAAACTTCTGTAAACAAGGCAGGTGAGCTAGGAATTTTAACTCGCATTGGAAAAGATTAGCATCAGCATTAGCTGTATTCCAGTGGCTCTTTCAGCAGCAAAAGGAATTCAGTGAAGTTGCACAGCAATTAAAACAAATGCAAGCCACTGATTCATAGCTGTAAGTGGCTGATTAATCAGAGACCCATCACTGTGTGGGAGCCTCTTACCACAAAACCACAGCAGCCACAAGAAACAGAAGTTGACATGTTTATTGTAACTTTATACTGACTTCAGGGGGAAGCTGGCTGCTGATTTAAAGGTGCTTTTATCGATGTCAACTAGAGTGCTGGAGGTGAATGACATTTACAGGTAAATTCACAGCAAGTCCATTTAGATAACACACAGTGCCACCACCTACATTTTTACTGGTGAAATGGTCATATCTCTAAAAACCTAAAAACCCTTTGTGTGATAGATATATCTCATTTTGCCACTCACAGGTGTCTGTGTGGGTTATTATTCCATTCTTAGTTTAGACACCTTCACAGTTGCAGAAACAACTGTCAGGAGCTCTCCAAAATGAATTTTAAGGGATGTGCTGTTAAGCATGATGGACCGACTGCAGATCACTCAATTTTATTATGCATAGCTTTTCACTGTCTCCAGTTAAAGTAGTTGTGCTGTATACAGAGGACTAGGATTATATTATTGTCATGTTTGTGTCAATTTTATTTCAATTTTAGACACGGGCAGGACCAACACTTGTTTTAGTTTTTTTTTTTGGAAAGTATTCTTCCATGTGAAAGTGTGCCTATTCTTTCTGGGTGGAAATATCAATACTTTTGGAAAAAAAAGCCAGAGAACCGGGAGTTATAAAACAGCACAATGTTGTGACAAAAGAAAAACTAAGGTCAGCTGCTTCAATTTGTGAGAGAAGTGGAAAGATCACAGTGCTACCAGGACCACGAGGAGAGAAGCTTCTGAGAGGGTACAATCACCTGGCAGGTGATTTCTCCACCCACCTTGGCAGACTGGCACAACTCCATTACACCTGCTTTTCCCTTTTCATCCACTGGTGAGTCTCCCTACTCTTGTCCCCACTGAATCCCTCAAAGTAAAGGATTTATGTAATGCGCTAAAGTTCCCTCAGCTCCCTATAATTTGAGCATTTTCTTCTACAAAGGACTACACCAGGCGCGCTCATCTCATCAGGCAGAGTTATAAGGATTAGCTCTGAATAAGACACCATGGAATGTCAGGCCTATCAGTTACTGAACATGCATCAGACAAACTTTGTCTTTGCAGGAACCTCTGCTCTGCATTTGTCATCCACCTGAATAATTAACAAGTACATGCTGCCTGCCAGCAGCTTAGGGAATTCATTTTCATCAATTACATGCACCTCACGTACACAAAAAAACACAGACCACACACAGCTCTCTACAGGAATCTCGTTTACTAGTCTTTGCATAAAATTCTTTTTTTTGTCCTTTTTTTTTTAAAAAGAAAAAAAAATCAGATTGTTCTGATGTGGCTGTCCCGCTTGCTAAACTTTTATCTGCACTGTATCTCTGTGCATTTCATTACTACTAAACAAGGGAAGCTATCTCATATCGACATAGTGTTTCTTCAGCTTCTGTGATTGTTAATGATGCTTGACACGATATCATGGATTATAATGAGTGTGGGCAAGCGGTGCAGAGTGTGTTCTTCATATAACATGACATTCATGAATTCTTTTAGATCAATACGAGGTTATCTCGGATTTAAAAGCCTAGAAAATAGAAGTTGCTCTCCTTTTTTCAAAACTGGTCCCCGCTACTTCAGAAATTTCAAATTTCCATACCAGGCCTATTAGACCTAACAAATGCAAACACCTCGCAGGTAGAATAATGAAATCGGAAGTGTCCTCAATACAGGTCAGGTACAGATTTTTTTATTGTGAGAAACCTGTGATTAAAATTAAAGACCATATAAAGGGGAGAATATTGTTTGCTGCTGTCAAGTCACCATCAGAAATAAAGGC